ACAGAGCTAGAAAGAGATCTCTCCAATAAAAAAGTAATAAGAATAGAATAGTGCGATGAACTAACTACCTCCTTCGCGCAGTTGTTGTCGCTTCCGTCTCCTTCCTACTGTAAGGACAACTTGTCGAGCGGGCTGTGAGTTTTGGAAATCGACGATTCTGCTTAAACAACAAAAGAATCAATTTAAGTTCAGCACAAAAGCTTCACTATATTGTCATTCGCCAAGTTACCTGTTCATCTTCGCTTGGTAAATATGCGCCACAGAGACGAGTCTGTGCATTGACGGTATTTGGTAAGAAACTGTTACAACTTCTATCTTCAAATTGAGACGTAGTGCCCTAAAGTAGAAAGGCTTGGCTCTATTAAAAAGCTTGCTCTGGATGAGGATTGACTTAATATTACCTGTGAAAAATATAGCGAAGCCTGGTGAGGTAGACCATCGCTGATTTTGGATGGAAAGAATAACATGTTTTCTCTAGCTCTGTAAAAATGCCTCAGTTTGAAACAGTAGTGTAGCTCCTTATTCAATACGATATATCAAACGGTATTTGATTCTAGCGTAAAACTAGAGGGTTCATTTATGGGCTACTATCCATCAACCTATTAACACGATGACGAAAATTGTACTTCTATTCTACAACGGGGGATCAACGCCAAGGTATTCCCTGCAGCTCACATCCTAATCATTCGTGGAATTCTTGTGCGATATATAACATAACCGTCCTCTAACATATCGCCATACTTTAAACTCACAAAGAAAAATATAAAATCGACGATGCTCAATCAAAAAGTTGCAGTGATGGAAATGCAGTAAACTTAAAACACTGCACCAAAACTTCGTGGGAAATTGAAATACAAATTTTGTGTCTCATACTTATAAAGAGGTTAGTCAAGCAAAGCTCCAAAGAGAATTTTTCTTTTAGAGATAAGGTTTCTTCGTCTAGGTTGACCTGCCTTTTGCGTTATTGTAGTTTATAGCACTTGGTAAATTTACCCGCTTTAGTAAATTGTATAGTTTAGTACTATATGACTGTTTGCGGTGGAAATTCAGTGTTAAAGAAGAACTTTATGCGATAACTGGTGAGTTTGCCAGTATGATTGTATGAATTACTTACAACATCAAAGGCTTAGAGCAGTTGTATATGGCAAATCAGAAATAAGAGATTTGAATGAAGCAATTCAGTTCAAGTCTCACCTCTGTCTTCTTTCCAGTAGCAAGGCTATGCTATCCATCTCTTCGCGTAAAATTGCCACCTTCTGATCCAGTTCGGCAAATAACGAGAAGAGCAGCTCATCAAAGTAGTCAAAACTCAAGTCCTTTGCGGTCTAAACGTGGTTGATGTAATCATAACCTTGCTGGTAACGTTCTTTGCAGGTCAAACACTTACAAATTTTCAGCATATTAGGCATAAAGCAGAACCCTACATGAGTAGGCATTATGTAGATGAGCTCCAAGTACTTTAACTTAAACACCTCGATATAGCCTACTTGATATTTTCACCGAAAAGGAGCTATCTTTATTCCTAATTCAAAAAGCTTACTCTCCAAGGGAGATTCTTATGAACGAACAGAATAGAATGGAGCTATATTGAAGAGAACTCAGAAAATACTTACCATTTCGTGCCAACAGCCCCTTGTCAATTAGTAAGAATAGAGAGTGTGAGGCTCCCCTTCTTCGCACTCTTTCCCTGCTCTCGTCGTCGTTTTCCACGTTGCCACGGTGATGAGCTCGGTCAGCAGCTGTGGATTACCGTAATCAAAGAAGCTGCAGCCGTGTGGTAATACCTTGTGCGTGTTATCGGCTCTAATTAACCTGGAAATGAGCAACGGAAATTGATGTGAACCTAGGCCAAATGGATATCAGACACGCAAACAAAACGACTAATTACTTATATGGTGGAGATGTGCATCAAAAAAAGCGAAACTATACCTGTACTATTGTCAACGCAACATCGAAAAAGTA